GGGGTGGGGGAGGGTGGAAGGGAACGAGCTGTTGGGGGACAGGAAGAGAGGGGGCAGGGCTCTGGGCACAGAGTGACCTGGGGCTACAGGCAGGAGGGTGGTGGTCACTCACCGAGGGGCTTCCCTGTGTGGATGTCAATGACGAACCCGGGAACCTGGTTTCCACACAGGATCTGGTAATCCACTGGGCAAAGCAAAATGGGGAAGGCAGAGCGCTGGGGCTGCAGCCTCCCTGGGAGGACACCTCCTCCTCCTCTGATCAGCTTGTCCATCCCTGTAGCCCAGTGCTCACCTGGCCTCTGACAACTAGTCCCTCTCCCTCCCTCCACTCTGACCAGCGCTGGGAGGGTCACGCGGGTGCCATTCGCCTGTGCGGTGTGATCTTCTAACACATAGACATGACCTCCGTCCTCTCTTCCCTGCATGAGTGCCACCAGCTACACCCCACTGTCCTCACTATAAAATGCAGACTCTTCAGTCTGGACCTCAAGAACCTTCACCCTCAGCCCCACCTTTCCTCCAACAGCATCTCCTGCCCTCCTGTTATATGATTTCATTCCATGTCTGGATGTGTCCTGCTCTGTCATGCTACCAGAACTTCGCATATGCTGTTCCCTAGCATAGTCCACTTCAACCTTGAGGACTCACGGCAGCCCACCACTCTGGCCCTGGACAGCTGATGACACCATCCTTTGGCTCTTCCAGGGCAAACTCTCTGACTGTATCCCACTGCTGACACCAAGATGCTGCTTGCCCGACCTAGATCCCCAGGTGGGTGGGTGTCCCTGGACCCACCTGACAGACATGGGCAGGCATCTGGGCAGTGCCACCTTTCCCCAGGTCCCTGCCCTGCTCCTCACTCACTCTTCTGCCTGTATCATGATGAGAACAGACCAATCTCAGTGGCCCCTATGCCTAGTGTGGACTTCTGTCTCATCACATTCAACCTGCACCTCAGATTCAGGGGCATAAGATTCAGGTAGGTACCTAACTCCCAGCACATAATTTGTGAGTGACATTTGATCTGTCTTGACAATCTCATGACCAGACTTGGCTGTCTGCAGTTTCCTCCCAGACTGCACAGCTTGGGTCTACCTTATTCTTATTTCCTAGAACCCAGAACAGGGCCCGGCACTCAGAGACAGCCAGTAATGACCCCTTCTCATACCACTACACTGGGTTGAACAATGACCCTCCACCCCCAAAGTTCATGTCCACCCAGACCCTCTGAACATGACCTTTTTGGGAAATAGGGTCTTTGCAGATAAACAATCAAGTGAAAGTCATCCTGGATCAGAGTAGCCCAAATGCAATGGTTGGTGTCCTTATAAGAAATGAAGAGACATGTGGAGACACAGAGAGAAGCCATATGAGTTGAAGGCAGAGATGGAGGAGATGCAGGTACAAGCCAAGCGACACCAAAGAATGCCTGGAGCCACCAGAAACTGGACGGAGCAAGTAAGAATTCATCCCTAGAGCTTCTGAAGGAAGCATGACCCTGCCCACACCTTGATTTATGACGTCTAGCCTCCAAGACTGTGAGAAAATATGTTTCTGGTGTTCTTTTCTTTCTTAAGCCACCAAGTTTGTGGTATTTGTTGCCACAACCCTAGGAAACTAATTGTCTTAGTTCAGGCTGCTATAAGGAAATACCATGAACTGGATGGCTTCAATAACAAACGTTTACTTCTCACAGGTCAGCAGGCTGGGAAGTCCAAGATCAAGGCACTGGCAGATCTGGTGTCTGCTGAGAACTCTTCCTGTCTGTCTTCTTGCTGTGTCTTCACGTGGCAAAGAGAGAACCTTTCTTGTGTCTCTTCTTATACGGGCACTAATCGCATTTAGAGGGCTCCATCCACGTGACCTAATTAACTCCCAAAGGCTCCACCTCCAAACGCCATCACACTGGGGGTTAGGGCTCCAACATATGAATTCTGGGGGAATTCAAACATTCAGTCCATGGCACTAATACACTTGTAACCCCCTAGTTATCCCCTCTACTCACCGCTCCATTCCTGCAGCTCTTTCTGATGCCTGGGCTGGTTGCTAGATCATCCTAATACGTCTCATCTCAACTGCCAAAAAGGTCTTCTGCTCAGTCCTTGCTTTGCTCCTGCTGTTCCTTGCCTGGAATACCCTTCTTCGTCCTGACCGACATTTCTGTAAAATCCTCCCCAGAGCTTCTGCAAGCTTGTTCCGCCCGCAGCTCGTGGGGCCCTGGTGCCTCTAACCAGCCGTGCTTTTCTCTCTGGCCCTAGGCACTCACTCACTGACCCCACCCCCCAAATAATCTGTGAGTGTTCAAGGTTCTTTAGCACAAATGAAAGCCTCACTGATCCATCCTGAATTCCTCGAGTCTGTGAAATAGAAGGATGCCTTGCCCTCCTTAAAAGTATTGATTTTTCCATTTGTTGATTGGGATGGAACTTCAACTCTTCAGCTCTCATCAAAACAACACAGACTCATCTGGGAGTCCTAAGTGCGGTGTGCCTCATTAAACACTGCATTAAAAAGGGCCAAGCTGGAATGAAGGCCAGGGAGGGGCACTTACGGCTGGCAGGAGTTGGGCAGGCCTCGCAGGGTCTATTCCAGGCCTGGCCGATGTTGTAAGAACAGCAGCACGTCTTCTGGGTCACGTTAAAGGTCAGCTCATTCCGACATGTACCGTTATAGTGCCGGAAGCAGACACTCTTT